TGTAACGGTTCCCGTTACAATTAGCACTAGTTATTATGTTCCCCAAACGAAGTTGGGGAACATATTGTTTTTACTCTGTTTCTTATTATTATTATTATTATTATTATTATTATTATTATTCTTTTTTCTTCTTATTTCTTCTCCGGTACTTTTTTGTCCGGAAGTGTTCTCAGAAACTGTTCACCAAACTAAGTTAAAACCTTTTTAGGGTTAGTAGGCATGTTGTGTAGATGTGCTGAACGAAGGTCATTTTGCGCGCATACGCATGCACGTGCGGGCGCGTGCAATGAGTAAAATGACTGATATATTTAATATGGTTGTAACTTTTATATTTCTTGATAAAATGTTTTGAAACTCATTATATAAAGATATATAAGATGTGTAGATAAGATGACATGGTCAAATTTACATGAACTCACGCGCATGCACGTGCGCTTTGCTCTGATTGGCTGAAACAGAAATCTTAATATCTATTTTGTTTTATGATGGAATGCTTTGAAATTTATAACATAAACATGCATTAGGATGTACTACAATATGATATATAAAATTTTTCATCAAATCACGCGCATGCACGTGCGCTGCAATCTGATTGGCTGAAACTTTAAATGACTATAACTCCCTTGGTTTACAACCAAACAGCATGAGATTTAGAACATAGACAGACATAAAGAACTCCTACAAGATGGTATGGTCACCATTCACATGCATGCACGTGCGTGCACATGTGCTTTGCTCTGATTGGCTGAAACAAAAATCTCAATATCTTTTTTTGTTTTTTTTACAAAATGCTTTGAAATTTAAAACATAGGCATACTTTAAGATGTCCTACAATATGATATATAATAATTGTCATGAAAACACGTGCATGCACGTGCTCTGCAATCTGATTGGCTTAAACTTTAAATGGCTATAACTCCCTTGTTTTTCAACCAAACATGATGGGATTAAGAACATAGACAGACATAATGGACACCTACAAAAACTTTTATATTTCTTGATAAAATGTTTTGAAACTCATTATATAAAGATATATAAGATGTGTAGATAAGATGACATGGTCAAATTTACATGAACTCACGCGCATGCACGTGCGCTTTGCTCTGATTGGCTGAAACAGAAATCTTAATATCTTTTTTGTTTTATGATGGAATGCTTTGAAATTTATAACATGGACATGCATTAGGATGTACTACAATATGATATATAAAATTTTTCATCAAATCACGTGCATGCACGTGCGCTGCAATCTGATTGGCTGAAACTTTAAATGACTATAACTCCCTTGGTTTACAACCAAACAGCATGAGATTTAGAACATAGACAGACATAAAGAACTCCTACAAGATGGTGTGGTCACCATTCACATGCATGCACGTGCGTGCACATGTGCTTTGCTCTGATTGGCTGAAACAAAAATCTCAATATCTTTTTTTGTTTTTTTTTACAAAATGCTTTGAAATTTAAAACATAGGCATACTTTAAGATGTCCTACAATATGATATATAATAATTGTCATGAAAACACGTGCATGCACGTGCTCTGCAATCTGATTGGCTTAAACTTTAAATGGCTATAACTCCCTTGTTTTTCAACCAAACATGATGGGATTAAGAACATAGACAGACATAATGGACACCTACAAAAAGGTATGGTCATCATGCACATGCGTGCACGTGCAATGAGTAAAATGTGTAGACAAGATGATATCGTCATTACGCTCATGCAATCACATGCGCACGCCTGCATTGCTTAAATTTGAAATACTTGGTATATTTTTGGGAAATCTTTGTTTACGTCTTAAATGCATAGATTTTGCCTTCTTTGATGAAACTTACAGGGAATATGGCATGAGAAGGGAGTTGGAGAGCGTTTGGGGAACATCTGTAACGGTTCCCGTTACAATTAGCACTAGTTATTATTCTTTTTTCTTCTTATTTCTTCTCCGGTACTTTTTTGTCCGGAAGTGTTCTCAGAAACTGTTCACCAAACTAAGTTAAAACCTTTTTAGGGTTAGTAGGCATGTTGTGTAGATGTGCCGAACGAAGGTCATTTTGCGCGCATTCGCATGCACGTCCGGGCGCGTGCAATGAGTAAACTGACTGATATATTTAATATGGTTGTAACTTTTATATTTTTTGATAAAATGTTTTGAAACTCATTATATAAAGATATATATGTTGTGTAGATAAGATGACATGGTCAAATTTGCATGAACTCACGCGCATGCACGTGCGCTTTGCTCTGATTGGCTGAAACAGAAATCTTAATATCTTTTTTGTTTTATGATGAAATGCTTTGAAACTTTTATCATAGACATGTATTAGGATGTACTACAATATGATATATAAAATTTTTCATGAAATCACGCGCATGCACGTGCGCTGCAATCTGATTGGTTGAAACTTTAAATGACTATAACTCCCTTGGTTTTCAACCAAACAGCATGGGATTTAGAACATAGATAGACATAAAGGACTCCTACAAGATGGTATGGTCACCATTCACATGCATCCACGTGCGTGCACGTGCGCTTTGCTCTGATTGGCTGAAACAAAAATCTCAATATCTTTTCTGTTTTTTTTACAAAATGCTTTGAAATTTTAAATATTAACATACTTTAAGATGTCCTACAATATGATATATAATAATTGTCATGGAAACATGCGGATGCAGGTGCGCTGCAATCTGATTGGCTTAAACTTTAAATGGCTATAACTCCCTTGTTTTTCAACCAAACAGGATGGGATTAAGAACATAGACAGACATAGTGGACTCCTACAAGAAGGTATGGTCATCATGCACGTGCGTGCACGTGCATATGAGTAAAATAGTGTAGACAAGATGATACATGTATCGTCATTACGCTCATGCAATCACATGCGCACGCCTGCATTGCTTAAATTTGAAATACTTGGTATACTTTTGGGAAAACGTTGTTGCCGTCTTAAATGCATAGATTTTGCCTTCTTTAATGAAACTTACAGGGAATATGGCACGAGAAGGGAGTTGGGGAGCGTTTGGGGAACATCTGTAACGGTTCCCGTTACAATTAGCACTAGTTATTATTATTATTATTCTTTTTTTTCTTCTTTGTTCTCCGGTACTTTGTTTGTCCGCGAGTGTTCTCAGAAACTGTTCACCCAACTAAGTTAAAACCTTTTTAGGGTTAATAGGTGTCAAGTGTAGGTGTGCACAACGAAGGTCATTTTGCGCGCATACGCATGCACGTGCGTGCGCGTGAAATGAGTGAAATGACTGATATACTTATTATAGCCATAACTTTTACATTTTTTATTGAAATGCTTTGAAACTCATTCTATAAGGATATATTAATAGTCTAGATAATATGACATGGTCAAATTAGCACGAACTCACGTGCATGCACGTGCGCTTCCTTCTGATTGGCTGAAACAAAGATTTCAATATCTCTGTTGTTTTTTGACGAAATGCTTTGAAATTTTAAACATAGTCATGCATTAGGATATACTACAATATAATATATAGCATAAATCATGAAAACACGCGCATGCACGTGCGCTGCAATCTGATTGGCTTAAACTTTAAATGGGTATAACTCCTTTGATTTTCAACCAAACAGGATGGGATTTAGAACATAGATAGACATGGTGGATTCCTACAAAAAAGTAAGGTCATCATGCACATGCATGCACGTGCATGCACGTGAGATGGGTAAAATCAAAAATACACTTGATGAAGCGTATTTTTTAATACTTTTGGATTAAATGTTTTATTATTTTATTATATTAATGTATATAGATAGTGTAGACAAGAGAATATGGTCATTACGCACATGCATTTACATGTGCACGCGTGGAAATGCTAAAATTTGAATATACTCGGTATACTTCAGGGAAACGTTGTTAAAGTGTAAAATGCATAGAGTTTGTAGTTTTTAATGAAGCTTAAAGGGAGTATGGCACCAAAAGGAGTTGGGGAGCGTTTGGGGAACATCTGTAACGGTTCCCGTTACAATTAGCCCTAGTTGGATATTGTATTTGACGAAGACGTTAACGCGATGACTTAAACTTTACAATCGTCAACTTTCCTACCAGTTCTTATATAGCAATATACCTTTTGCATACGGAGTTTATATATCTCAGTTTATTCGATACGCAAGAGCTTGCTCTACATATGTACGATTTCTAAAACGAGGTAAATTATTGACAAACATGTTGATGAAACAAGAATATAAGCCCACTAGTTTAATGTCATTATTTCGTAAGTTCTATGGTCGATACGATGACCTTGTCAGCGTATACAATGCATCATCGAGTAACTTACTCACTAACGTTTTTCATACGAATTGTTAGTCCATTATTTATGCTGGTGTTACTGGTCAGCAGGGGATGCTTACTCCTCCATGGCACCTGATCCCACCTCTGATGTTTTGGAAGTCTGAGTTCGCTCTGCTCCTACTTTATATTGTTTTATGGACTTTTGATCTTGAAAACTGTTCGTTATCTTCATATGTTTCACATCGCGTATTGAATCAACTCAGAGATATAAACCCCGTATGCAGGTGATGAAGAATGCTGCATAAGTAAATGAAGTTGACGATGTATATGCGAGAAAAGAAAGAAAACTCTTCATGTGGCTTTCAAATTCACATTTAGATATATCGACAACGTATTGTCAATTAGCAATAGTTGTCTACATTCATATGTTGGCATGATATATATCCCGTTGAGCTTGAATTAAAAGATGCCACAGAGTCTGACACATCTGTTTCATATTTGGATCTTTTGAGCTTGAAAACTGTGCGTTATTTCAATTTATTTCATTACTAGGAAAAGACGGCACATTTTTGTATTGTTTATAATTAATAGAGTTTTATTTGAGCTTGAAAACTGTTCGTTATCTCCATTATCTCGTATTTTACCTTAAAACTGACCAGTAAAAAAAGTGGAAGGCCAACCAGCATCCCCCTACTACTGATACTGAGTCCCGAGACAAGGAAACTTATTTAGCTTTTTTTTCTTTATTGTGTATATTACATAACGGGTTCTAAAATGGTACCCTGCGATAAATTTAACCGTCATCCTCCTCGCTACTAGACAGATAAGAAACATCGTCCTTCATTTCTCTGTAGGTTAAGTATCTCTCTGCATGGCGATGATAGTACTCCGTCACAAACCAGAGGAAAGTGTTAATAAGGGTAAAGGCCACGCTGTCCCAACCCAAGAAATAGTACCAGAAATCCATAGTAGACGTCAACAGAGTAACGTACATCGTCATACCGATAGTCAGAGCCAGCACTGCAAATGAGAAGAGGATTTATCATTATAGAATTATAGATGAAATATGCATATGAATTATAAAAGTAGATCTTCATTCATTGAAAACCAAACGAAAGAAACCGAACATTTTGCTTGATATTATATTTCTTTTTGATAAACCGGACGTTTTTGTAATACTTCGAATGAAATTTAAGCCTTTAAAGCTAGAAATATACATTAGAAACTTACAGGATAAAAAATTAGCAGATACGTTGATGTGGTAGTCATCTACTCGTGTCTTGCTGAGCCTCGTTTTGAAAAACTCGTACAGCAGATACAGAATCAGAAGAAGCTGAATCCCAGAACCCACACTAATCAACCCAAAGGACGCCTGAAGTGCACAAGCTGAAATAAAGGTCTACACAGTACAAAAGATGTTGTTTTCATTTGTCAGTCTTTTTATAACAATTGTATATTCTGATTTAACTTTCTTGTCTAATGTTAATTCATATTGATCACACATATAAGTGTATGCATTCATAAAAATTATAATTTATAATAATACTTATCAGATTCCCTTGCATAACATAGCTGATATTATGGTTAAGATAAGGTCACATTAGGTGAAGTACCTCCCCCTAAAAACACTATTAAAAAAATAAGATTTCTTTGAAATTCAACCCAAACTTTCTGACGTTCGATGTGAGTTGTACGTACATTCTTTGTTGTAGTTCTGTAGAGGTCTGAGGTCCCTATCGAACGCCATCCCCGCCACCGTCCCTCCACTCAGTGCCAGAGTTATGACGGACAGAAGCAGTCCTATCTTCTGTCTTGAGGCAGTGATCAGCTCCCACGAGCTCTGACAAAGGGCGCGGAGAAAATTGTAACCAAAGAACGGTTCCTTGTTTGCGGCCATTTTCGTTTTGTTTGGTCGTCCCTTAAAATGCACTATGTCCTTGTGAAACACAAACAGCGGAAACGGTGTATGTATTTCCTGTCTTGTTGCGTTGTAAAAAAAAAAAAAAGACGGTTTTGTGATATAAGGACATTTGGTTTGTTTTTAAAAATGAGCTGTTTTCGTTTCTTCCTAAACCAATTAGGTTTGTTGCATACGTTGCAGCAGACTTCCTTAAACGAAAGCCACTTGCGAAACAACTTCTTGGTCCGCTAACTTTTAAATTTTTTAGTACATGTAAGACTGACGAAAAACTGAGCATTGAACACCCTTGCAGGAAACACAAACTCTTTAAACGGTAGTCACTTATTGACTTTGAAAGTTCCTCCTCCACTCCCTGTTCCTCATTTCCCGCACACACACCAAAGTTGGGCAGATTGTTCAAATTTTTTTTGGGTCAAAACGTTCAGAGACTGAAATTAATTGGAATTAATGAGGAACCCAATACAAATTAGGAGCAGAGCAAAACGGATCACTAAAACATCAGAGGTGAGGCCAGGTGCCATTGAGGAGTGAGCATCCCCGCCATATATATGGACTAGCATTCAGTATGAAAAAGTCAGTGAGCATTTGACTGATAGCTTGTATTTGCTGAGAAGATCATTGTATCGACCATAAAATTTAGGAAATTGTGAAAGTAAACGATCTGCTGATATTCTTGTTTCATCAACTTGTTTGTCAATGATACACTTATGTACTACTTGTGTTTTAATTGCATAACATACAGATATAGTTATATTTAAGGAGAGGAACTCGTAAGTTGTAAGAACTTGTTTCCGATCCATTAGATTTAATTCAGGAACTCGTAAGTTGTAAGAACTTGTTTCTGATCCATTAGATTTAATTCAATCAAATATGTTCAAAATAAACAAATGATATACCTAATTTTAAAAAATTGTCCAAACGTATAGCATGCTTTTGCGTATCAGGTGATGAAGGTATATTGCTGCATAAGTAAGGGGAGTTGACGATTGAAAAGTAAAAGTCCTTACATTTATCAATTTCAGGGTTTTTTTTTTTTTTGTTAGATTTCCATCAATGTCCTTTTCTATTAAAATGTCCAAGTATATAACAAAAGTGTCAGAAGCTGTGGTATATATAACTTCAAGCCCACTTGGGTATAGCGTGTCGACATGTGAATGGAAATAATAATTGTTAATTGATAATACATCGTCGATGTATCTAATATGTCGAGGTAAAGGCCACAGCATTTCAAGCGTGCATTGTAATTCGGGATCTGATGGAAAGTGGTGCTCTCCTTAGTTGCGCATCCTGGCGCACGGAAATGCTCTTGGTATCCTTGTTTTGTCATCTTGTTTGTCTATAGTTTGCCTCGTTTTCAAAAATTGTTCCAATGTAGAGCATGTTCTTATTGATTCAACTAAGAGACATATATCTCATGTATAGGTTATAAGGGTATACTGCTGCATAAGAAAAGGACGTTGACGATAAGAGTTAAAGTCGATTCAACTGGATGGCATAATCATACCTCATGTGTAGGTGATAAGGGTATATTGCTAAACAAGTAAGGGAGAAATTGAAATCATTTCGTTTATCATAAAGATTTGTTGTTAGGTTACCATCCACTTTTTTTTCAATATAATATCCAGTATGAAATTTGTGTGTTAGAAAATGAATTTAAAAAAAAAAAATGTGAAAATACAAATTTCTCACATCGAAACTTCAATGAATATATCATTTACTGTTAATGTAATAAGATTCGATATGTTCAGTAACTAAATTTCAATTTGTTTAACACACATTTCAAACAAGACTGACATCAGAAATAAGCTTAAAATAAACTACGGAATATTAAACTCTATGCATGTAAAATTTTACATCACAACACCAAAAAGTCCACCGTGGCATAATCCGATAAAAGCATTTGTTTCATCCCATGTTTGATTCACTACGATGTCTAAATTTTCAAAACTACAAATAAGTCAACTTATGGTATAATACTAATCTATTTAATTCTTTTTACAATCAAAATTTAAGGAGTACAATAATTGTAAATACACATGTACTATACTTAATAATCTCATGAAATGTTTTGCAAACGAACAAAAAACGTTGATGTATTTAGTACTTTTAAAATTGCTTTATATATGCGAAAATGAGGACATAAAATTAAGGGGGGTTCAGTCTTGATAGTCATCGTTATATTCCCCTCCGCTTTCATTTCCCCCGTAACTCCCAGTGTCGTTCCCGTCACCCCCTACGTTAAATATTGGGTCGTCTGGATGGTGCCTTTTTAGGTATCGGCGGAACATTTGCGTGCTGAACCAGTACAGAAAGTTTCCGAAGGCCAAAACCCCGCCAAGCAGTCCCAGCCAGAAGTTCCACGTGATCCGAGTGTTCAGTTTGACGCCGAATACAATGGATGCGGAACCTAGAGCTAAGACTTAGGGGGAAAAGAATAGAAAAAAAAATGTTTCACAAATTCAAATTCTTAAAGTATCAGGAAATTTTTATCTTTCAGAAAAAAAAAATCGTTCATGATATTTTCATTATTTTGTGAAAAAAAAAGTCTTGGTTGTGACTGTGATAACTTACAGGCAATGGCGTGACTGAGGAGATTGACGTAGTAGAAATCCTTCTTGAGTATTTGGATGAATATAGTGAGCGCAACAAACACAGTCACAGCAAGTTCGACAATAGTCCCCACCGTGTACATGCCATAGGAGGACTTCACCACACAGGCTGACAGAATACACAATCAGGGATTCATTTTAATTATTATTGAGAACTAAACAATATTATACAATTATTGCTGTTTTTTAGGTCAATACAATGATTTAGCCATATTCACCGAAGGTGGCTAAATCATTGTATTGACCGAAAAAACAGCAATAATTGTTTTATTATATGATTCACTGATATAATGATACAGCTCATTACTTGTTTGCATCAGTTTGATTAAGTCCTAGCCAAATACAAGAGAGAACCAGTAATAGATTGTAAATAAACCTTAACAGTCGTATCAATTTGAAGTTTTTTTTATCAATTTTAGTTGCCATGAAAAAATTTAATGTCAGTCTTTTTCATAGGATAGGTTTTGAAGGGAAGGAGTATTATCAGGGAAAACTGACTGCCAATAAGTAAAAACTGGTGTTCAGTAAAAGTGTTGGAAGTGGTTTCCTGCATCCCCTCTTACCACACTCACCCAAAAATATATATATTCGATTATGTTTTGTTCACATGAATAAAAGTCATATAGTCGGTTAAATAGCTTTACGAAACAATTTGTATCAATTTTGAAGTTTCTGATCTATTTTTAGATCAATGTAGAGGAAATAAATCCTTATATTCACCTGGATCGTCAAGTACATGTCAATACAACGTAGTATTTTTCTAACATAGTTGGATCTCAGCCAATCAGAGAGGTGGAAATTATTCAATCATATAATAAAGCCTAATATGTAAATGTAATGCAATGTTTTTTTCCAGCTCAATCATTGAACATGTCAAATGTTTAGTACTGTACTAATTGCAGTGATTTAAGAATACAATACTCTTAAAAAATGTTGTCCCCAAAAATATTTGATGATATAATATTTTAACAGGTAACCCTTATCTTTTCTCCTTTTAATTTATTATTTTCTTTTCAATATTATTACCTGCATCACTTGCTACAACGATGTCCTTCAAAGTTACCCCATTGCTGATACCCATGGCAACGACATTGACTATATTGAACGCAGACGACACTGAACCAGTCACCAGGGAAACTATTTTCCTCTGCTTGATTAGTTGTGTCATGACTGGAATTCTTTTGGTGGACTTCTAAAACTCCAAAACTTCCACACAAGTACAACAATGAAGAAAAGGAAATGAAAAAAAAAAAAACACGGGCCAGCGATCGGCATCCTGTGATGTTTCCTTTAGAAGAAATGTAACTACATACTTGTTTATTTGTCGATGTACATGTACCGCGTAAACTCGTACATGGAGATGTATATGTATTTAGGTTTCTTAATTGTTTGAATTATATATATGAAGATATAGACCACAAAATTCATTGTACAATACACTGAAAAACGAGAGCTTATTAAAACCAACTTTGAGTTTTTTCACTTTAAAATTATTCTAAGTACTGAAGACATTATTAAAGTTTATTTTATTCTTTTTCAAATCTTTGAAATTCTCTCTGTGTTATTTTCTGGGGGGATTAGAAAGTTATATCTGAACAATGAACTGAGAGTAATACAATTTATCTATAGTCAACTTTTCCTTAAATACATTTATCTTATATAAAATACATAAATGATATATTATATGTATTTTTCTTGAATTTCCAAAACTATTTTAAAAGAGCTCCTTTGGCAATTAATTAAAATAATTAAGCAAAAAGGTTGCTTTTGGCAAAGAAATAAAAAAGTGTTTAAATACAATGCGATGTTCTTTTTCGTCGGGCTCGGCATCATTATACTGTGGTCATGTGACACATATCCGCAGCCGATGTAAACATTCGTCTGATCAAAATATTTGTCTCATTTGTTTCCTTGTTAGCGTAACAAATACAGGGTAAGTTTTATAAGTTTTATGTTACTTTATCAGTTTATAAAATTATTCAGTTTTAAAACAATCGTTATGGTTTGTTTGCATTGCGAAATCTATGCAACTTTTTTCGTGTTGCACAAACCCCTAGGCCTCAGGCCTAAGGCATTAACTAAACCCGAAATGACTCAACGGGGTAAAGGTGAACCAATGATTGGTGACGTGTTGCTTGTACTTTACATTTTGTTATGTAGTTTTGTACATCTTATACGTGTCAGTATTTTTTCTTTCTATTTTTAGATACCATAAACGCAGGTATTAATGACTGATCAGTGAAAAGAACACTGGGAAGTTGAAGACTATGGAACCGATTTTATGGATTCCAGCGATTTTGGCTGGGATGACCACATGGCTGTACGTTTTGTCAGTCAACATCCCAGAGCTAGGAACAAACAATACTCAAAAGTTAGTGTTTTCTTCTGTTTACTTATACACATACATACATGAAATCTTATAATGTCTATTTCTGATGAAAGCAAATTCTGCTGAAATAATAATAAAATACAGTTGAAATTTAGTATAGAATGGCTAGCTGTTGTTAATTTTAATGGGAAAAAATGAGAAATATTTGAAAGTTTTTGCAATTCCCATTTCTTTAAGGATATTAAATAGTAACTTTTTTAGTATCAGGGTACATGTACATATAATGCATAAGTACATGTATCTGAAGTCCTATTTCATTTGTGGGATATTAAATCACAAAATGAACATAACCTTCTATAGTTTCATCATGTATAGGATGTACCGGTATATTAATTGAATTGAGATATATATTTTACAGAGGTGATCTGAAGTTCCCAACATCCCTAGAAGATTTACAGTCGGTAGCCAACCTATTAATGATGTACAAAGAGGAGCACTTTCTCTATGTTCTGGTCTTATTCTGTAGTGCATATATCTACAAACAGACATTTGCTATCCCTGGATCAGTTTTCATGGTCAATATCATAAACAATGTCTCTGTCTCTGAAATTAGTCAGAAAATATTCAAAATATTTTGAATTGTTTTAAGTCCATAAAAATATTTTTTTGTTTGATTTTAGAATCTGTTGGCAGGTGCCCTGTTTGGGGTCTGGAGATCCTTTCCCCTTGTCTGCCTCCTTACAGCGACAGGGGCCACATGTTGTTACAGTCTCTCAAAATACTTCGGCAAACAATATGTTATAAAATACTTTCCAGACAAAATAAAGTTCATGCAAGAAAAGGTGAGATATATATATATATTTTTAAAAGATCAATCATGATAAAATTTAAGGAAATATATGTCTAAATTGAAATCAATATTTTTTTCTGGCGTTTTCTCTTTGATTGTGAATATTCATTCTTAAGATAGTTTCAGTGTAACTTTGCACCTATTATTTGTTGATAAGGGAAGAGGATATTTTTTACATACAGTAACTTGACTTAAAAAAAAATCAAGTCTATGTTTTATTTTTAACATTCCAAACAACTTTTAGGTACCCATGATGTACAGAATGGATATTAAAAAAAACAACTTTTATACTTCTTTGTAATTACAGGTAGAGGAGAACTATGACAGCTTGTTTTTCTTCCTTCTATTTCTACGATTTTTTCCTATGTCTCCAAACTGGTTTTTAAACCTGGCTTCTCCGATACTCAACATTCCAGTGTATATGTTCTTCTTCTCAGTATTCATAGGTAAGTGATAATACACATAAAATAAAGAACAAGCAAAGTAGGATATTACTACTCAGTACTGGTAATAATTCTCTGTGGCATGTACTGACTTTATAAATTAAGATTAATACTTTCAGGTTTGATGCCGTACAATTTTATCTGCGTACAGACGGGCAGCATGTTGTCTCAGATCACAAGTATGGAGGACGTCTTTACAACAGCGACTTTTATCAAGTTAGCAGGGATTGCTCTGGTAGCTCTGGTGCCAAGTTTTATTATGAAGAAGCTAAAGAACAAAAAACTTAAGTCAATGTAGTGTTATTGTTTTAGGTTGTAGTTAAATGTTTTACATTGGATAAATAATTATGCAAATGGAAGCAAGTCATTTTTCTCTCTGGTTTTCACTCACACATAATAGTCATAAGAGGTGAATCATTAAGTAAACATCAATGTCCACAAAATAAAAATTATCTTCGAAGTTTTATAAACTTTCTATGAAAATGGAATTCCTTCTTGGCTTCTGTCTGGCGGAATTATTCTTTTTTTTTTAAAATAACTTGTTAAAAATTAGAAATAATAATTGTGCACTATTGAAAGATTTACAGTAAGATATGCACTATTAAAATAGTTCATAATAATTGCAGTATATGATAAAATCCAGCCCCCTTCTTTCACTTGTCTGACGAGTGAAAGGAGAAAAGCAGCTGGTTTTAATCAGACTGTAAATATTGATATTTTATATGACTTATTTGTTTTAAGAGTTAGGTATCCTATATTACTCATAAAATTGGCTTTTTGCATGATAACAGTGTATATGGTTTAAAATAGAAATGATTTAAAGGATCTGAAAAAGTAATGATACTATCCAACTTTTACTAGTGTTTTAGATTTGAGAAGGCTATGATTGACTCCTATATAGATTAAGTTTTGAAATACCCGCTTTACTTTCAAACTTTAACCATACATGTCATTACATGACTTTGTCAACCTTAATTCATTTTAAACTTAACTAACTTACTAATGAAAGTCACAAAGATGCCCTTCAGCTCCTTCTAGCTGAGCTTAAGGACTGTCTCTTTTTGCAGATGACCTGTTTATATAAGTATGAGTCATCTCATGTTAGAACTTTTGGACCTCATGCATATTACAGAGATGTATACGTTATCCACAACAATCATTAAATAATAAAATACTTTAAGGATACACCAAAGGTTTCCATAGGGCAAAATTTAATTTGCTTGTAATTCTTTCATTAACAAAGATAACATATAACATAAAGATAACAGAGTTGCTAACAGAACATGGATTAAAGCAGCATATTGCCGATGCAACACATCGTCTTGGTCATACGTTAGATGTGTTGATAACCAGAGAAGATAGTTCTATATTACAGGGAACGCCATTTGTAGCAGATCCTGGTATATGTGACAACAATGGAAACAGAAGTGGTGACCACCTCGCAATTCGCACTTTACTGCGTCTGTCCAAAGCTCCGAGAGAGAGAAGAACGGTAACCTTTCGGAAAATTCATGACATCAACATAGACAATTTCAGGAACGATCTTGATTTTTCAAACGTGACTTACAAGGAAGCATCTGTTGAAAAGCTTATCATTCACTCCAAACCCATCGGAGAAATTTGCCGGAGACATAACATGTATTACCATTGTTATGCTGATGACACACAGGTTTACCTGATTATTAACCCGAAGGACAGTTGGGACGACATTGCGAATAGACTTGAACGGTGTCTGTCTGATATACAAGACTGGATGCAAAACAACATCCTTAAGTTAAACCAGGATAAGACTGAACTCATCATCTTTACACCGAAACGTTTGGCAAATGAATTTACAGGACGTAAACTCGCTTTTGGTGGATCAGTCATCAGTAATGCTTCCTGTGTTAAAAATCTCGGGGTATTTTTCGACAGCAAATTAAGCATGGACTGTCAAATCAATTCGGTTACAAGATCCTGTTATTTCCATCTTCGTAACATCGGTAGAATAAGATCACTCATAACAGAGGATGCTTGCAGGACACTTGTTAGATCTTTAGTGACATCTAGACTTGATTATGGCAATGCACTATTGTTTGGCCTCAATGCCACATCCTTGCAAAAGTTGCAGAAAGTTCAGAACACTGCAGCCAGACTGGTGACACGTTTGAGAAAACATGAACATATAACACCAATTCTCATAACTCTTCACTGGCTACCTGTGGCATACCGTGCACAATATAAAATTCTGTTGTACACTTTCAAGGCCTTACAGAAGCTAGCCCCGAAATACATCCAGGAACTTGTTCAGGTCTATCGCCCACAACGTTCACTACGGTCTGGGGATTCAATGAGCCTTGTTAAACCACGCACTCGAAGTAAGATGTATGGAGATAGAAGGTTTGATGTATCTTCAGCCACCCTGTGGAACTGCCTCCCGCTGGATCTTAGGAAAGAACAGTCACTTGAAGTTTTTAAAAGAAATCTAAAAACACATCTTTTTAGACTCGCCTTTAGTTTATAAGGCTCTAGTCACAATGGAGCATCCAGTTGGTTTTATATAAAAAAAAAAAAAAAAAAAATGCCCTATGATTTTACCTTTTTGCTATTTTATATTGTACCCGTCCTTTGTTTTATATTGTAATTGTTTTCTACGTGTAAAGCGCTTTAGGGTAATTCCATAATTATATAGGGCGCTATATAAAAGTAGAATAATAATAATAATAATAATAATAATATTAAAAGTATACAGTGTATATCATTGGAAAGCTTGTTAAATTTACTATTTAATGATCTTAATTTGAATTTTCATTTTTATCTTATTTAAACATTATTCATATTTTAATGTAAATATTGGTGCATTTATATTTTATAAATCAACTTTTTTGTATTCCACCTCTCAAAGTCAAGATTTTGCCTCAATGTAGATTAAAGATTGAACTGTCAGGTGACCGAGCAATTATAACTGTAGTGTTACTTGCCGGAAATTTGCCTTCTCCGGTTTTACTTTTACTAAATCACGTATTTCCATTTACTTACACGTGCATTGTTACATTGAAGTGTTTTGTGCCATAGAACACCATAGGAGTAAGTAATCATTGTTATAATTATGTATGCATTAAGCGCCAACATTGTATTACCATTTAGCTTCGAAATTTTCTGCATTTAACTTGTATTTTCTTATATTTTTGAAATGCTGACAAGTTTGTGGCTAGGTAGGCCTATCGTAAAATATGGATTATCCTATGATGTATGTTATATCTTAGGAATGCTAATGAATTATGCTATATTAGGTATATAAATACAATCTAGCTTAAACTTAAAGAAGAGCAGATGTAAGCTGTTTAGTCTGTTAGATTTCTACTGTGTAAAACTGAGTTTTTCATTTAATTTTGGAAAATGGCATAGTGTAAATTTTGGATTGTCAGTCTATCTGATATGTGTCAGCTGTTATACTTGAGCTTATTGTAACTCATTGTCATCGTTTGTTACAGTTTTCACCCTCTACGAGGAGCAATAAAATTTTGGTTGCACCAGAGTTTGTTCTTGCACAGTGAAAATCCTAGGTTAATTCAACATGGCAAGCCTACCTGACAGACACTTGAGGTCAACAAGAAAGCTTACAGCTGGTGGACTTATTCAGTTCGAAGACACAGTACAACGTCGTACTACAGAGTTACGTAACATTAAACATGACATTGATGGTGTTATCGCACAGTACGAGGACTCGTCAGATCCCCATTTAAGACTTACACTTACTTCTCTAGCACACAAATACGATGCTGCCTGTCATGAATATGAGAACTTTCTTAAAGCATCACGCACATCAGCAAGCTTAAGAGAAGAGGCTTCACACAGACTCATAGCAGCATCTGTGAGGGCCAAGATATCATCAGTATTAATGGAAATAGATGCAAAGTTTGGAAAACAAGACATTAAACCTGTGTTGGCTGATTCCGATCTTCTGACTAAAGCAAAGTCGCCCTCTAAGTCCTCAAAGAAATTATCTTCCATCTGGTCAAGTCGATCTATGAGCAGTACAGTTATTCGGCAGCAAAGTGCTAAGATTGGAATAGCCATGGCAGAGCTACAGTTTGCGGAGGAGGAAGCTGAACTTATCAGAAAACAGGCCTCTATTGAAGCGGAGAAAACAATTTTAAAGAAGAAGAGAGCTTTAGCTGAAGCACAGACTACGCTAGAAGCAATGGAACTTGCTCTAGACAACGAATCAGTAGCAGAAGTTGAATCACAACCGAATGACAGAGTATTAGACTATGTATTGGAACAAAGTGACCTTGCATCCAGTCGGGAATCTGAGGAACTTCCACAGGCAGAGTCAACACCCCGGAATGCTGGTGGTCATGTGCGACACACAGAGATTAATCCGATGGCTGACATCTCAAGGTACTTGGCAAAACGTGACCTGATATCTTCTAGGTTAGCAGTCTTCGACGATAATCCAATGAACTATTACGCTTGGAAGGTCAGTTTCAAGAATATTATGACTGATTTACAAGTTACACCACTTGAATGCCTAGACTTAATGGTGAAATGGCTTGGCCCAGAGTCACAACGTCAAGCAAAAAGTATCAGAGCAGCAAACATAGCTAACCCTCAGACAGCTATTGACCTGATATGGGAACGTCTGGACTCGAGATATGGCAGCCCAGAAATCATAGAAGACTCCCTCCAGAGCAGGTTAGCTAAACTTCCAAGACTAACGTCTAACAGTCGTAAAGAGTACTTCGACCTACTGGATCTAGCCACAGAAATTCTAGCAGTGAAAAAAGAGGATTCAAACAGAACTTTATTTTCATACTTCGATTCATCTCATGGTGTAAACAAACTTGTATGTAAGCTTCCACACAATTATCAAGAGAAATGGTCAGGAGAAGTCAGCAAGTTCAAACAGAAGAATCAAGGACACTATCCGTCATTTGACTTCTTTGTTTCATTCCTCAAGAATCTTGCCCGAATGAAGAATGACCCTGGCCTCGTGTACGAAACTTCAACATCAACCAAACCGCCAGTTGGAAGTGGGGGTCATAAGACTTATGGACCAGGACGCGGTGATTCAAGGAATGTGATACATACTAGAAAGACAGAGGTGAATAGAGAAACGCACAAGGAAAAGGATGGATACCTATGTCCTCTCCACAAGACAAAGCACAAGTTGAATGACTGTTTAGCATTTCGTCAGAAGCCAGTAGACGAACGCAAGAAGTTCCTCTTCTCTAATGGAATCTGTTTTAAGTGTTGCGGTCCAGTCAAACATCATGCTAAAGACTGTAAAACTGATGTTAAATGCAACTTGTGTAACATGTCAACACACCCTACTGCATTACATGAGCAACAGGAAGTGATATCAGCATGCACCCAAGTCTGTAAGACTACAAACGGCAAGAGTAAATCGTGTGCTAAGATACTTTCTGTCAAAGTGTATCCAGAGGGACATCAAGACCAATCACGTCTTATCTACGCTGTGATTGATGACCAAAGTGACCATTCCTTAGCTACACCTACCTTCCTTGACTCATTCCAGGATAATAGCCCTGTTTATGACTATTGTATTATTTCCTGTGCTGGCCGCAAAATGACATCAGGAAGAAGGGGAGCAGGCTACATTGTCGAATCATTGGATGGATCCACTGTCTTGAAACTCCCTACCCTGGTTGAGTGTTGTGACATACCTAACAATAGGGATGAGATCCCATCCCCAGAAGTTGCCTTACAATATGCATATCTGCATGATATTGCACCTTTCATTTTACCAGTGAATGAAGATGTAGAGATAGAACTTTTGATTGGCCGAGACCTTATCACAGCGCATCACGTGCTTGATCAGCGGATCAGCATCGACCATTTACCTTACGCACAAAGATTACCTTTAGGATGGGTTATCTTGGGTCCCGTATGCCTTGGTAACGCACACCTTACTGACTCTGTGAATGTGAAGAAGACCTTCATCTTACCAAACGGGAGACCATCACTTTTGGAGCCCTGTGAGAGCAAGTTAAGTTTAAAGGAAGACCCGTTTTTGAGAACAAGCCAGGACGAGAAGCCCGGACTGTCTATTGAAGACAAGGCATTTTTACAGATCATGGATTCAGGCTTCAAGAAAGATGCAGATGGCCACTGGACTGCTCCTCTCCCTTTCAAAGAGGACAGACCTCGTCTACCGGACAACAGAGGCCATGCCTTGAGGAGAGCCAAGACCTTGGATCTCAGTCTTCTTCATAACCCTGTCAAGCGTGAGCATGTTCAAGAATTCATGAGAAAGATATTTGATAGAGGTCATGCAGAATTGGCACCACACTTACCTGCAGGAAATGAGAGATGGTACTTACCCATGTTCGGGGTATACCACCCCAAGAAACCAGAAGCTATCAGAATGGTTTTTGATTCGTCAGCAAAACACGAAGGGGTGGCTCTCAATGACATTTTACTCAAGGGGCCTGATAGCTCGAACAATCTCCAGGGAATCTTAATGCGCTTTCGAAAGGAGAAAATAGCAATTACTGCTGATGTAGAACAGATGTTCCACAATTTCAGGGTGTACGAGCCACACAGAGACTATCTGAGATTCATTTGGCATGAGGAAAACAATGTAGAAAAACCCCTAACTGATTACAGGATGACAGTGCACGTCTTCGGCAATAGTCCATCTCCTGCGGTTGCCACGTACGGACTCCGCAAGTCAGTCGCCAATGCAGATGATGACGTCAGAAGTTTTGTCAACCGGAACTTCTACGTGGATGATGGGCTCATCAGTTGTCCTTCGGAGACAGAAGCCGTGAACCTGTTCAAGAGAACTCAAGAATCCCTGATGAGTGGTGGGCATCTTAGACTCCACAAGGTAGCCTCTAACTCAAAGGCTGTTCTACAGATGTGTGACTCAGATGATCTGGCAAAGGATCTCAAAGATTTAGACTTAGGACAGGATACTCTTCCAGTGCAGAGGAGTCTTGGTGTGTCTTGGGACATTGAATCAGACAACATTGTGTTCCATGTATCTACTGACCAAAGACCATTCACCCGTCGAGGAGTCTTGTCAGTAATTAACAGTCTTTATGACCCGGTGGGATTCACAGCACCAGTTACACTCCAAGGCAAACTCCTACTTCGAGAAATGATGTCATCCTTCTCAGGCCCATTAGATTGGGACGAACCCTTGCAGCCTACTTTCCAGAAGCGTTGGCAAGACTGGGTCATCTCACTTCAACAGCTCGAGCTCCTAAAGATTCCTAGGATGTATTGCAAGTTATCTATTACCTTTTCCTCTAAGTGTGAAGTTCACATCTGTTCAGATGCGTCTAAAGAAGCTATAGCTGCCGTAGCATACCTTAAAGTGTTCACTGAAAGTGGTTCACATGATTCGGGATTCCTATTGGGAAAAGGAAAGGTAGCCCCAGTACACGGCCATACCATACCTCGCCTTGAGCTCTGTGCTGCAGTCATGGCAGTAGATCTAGCGGAAATCATCAGTGAGCAAATGGACATTGACAGAGAAGCCTTTCATTTCTACACAGACAGTCGCATCGTCTTAGGGTATATTTCAAATGACAGTAGACGTTTTCATGTGTACGTAGCTAACAGAGTTGGTAGAATTCGATCCTTCAGTAAACCTTGCCAGTGGAACCATATTTCGACTGACTGTAACCCAGCAGACTTGGCAACTCGAGAGTTTCATGCTAGTGATTTACCGTATAGCATGTGGATTCATGGACCTTCCTTTCTTAAAGAGGATCATGTTAGTGATGAAGACTCAGAGAACAGATCTGAGGGGTTTCCTCTCATTGATGCAGAGGAGGACAAAGAAGTGAAGAAGGAAGATGTGATGTGCATGAAGACTACGGTAGAACAGACTTTAGATTGGGAGAGGTTCGCAAGGTTTTCGAGTTGGAAACATTTAGTAAGAGCAGTTATGAACGTAAAGAGACTTGCGAGAAAGTACAAGAAATCTCAGACTGAAGTATCTGTCTCAGAGGCTGAGATTGTCATCATCAGAAAGGTTCAGAGCATGATATTTCCAGAAGAGATTGCGGCAATCATGGAGGGGAGAAGCCCACCACAAAACAGTACATTACTTCCGTTGAAACCAATCTTAGATGAACATGGAGTATTACGTGTAGGAGGGCGGATTCAAAGGATGAGAGGTAAAAAACAGAATGACTACACAAAGGCCATCACCTGTCACCCTATAATAATTCCAAAGGGACACCAGATTGCACTTCTACTTGTTCGTCACTACCATGCTTCCATACACCATCAAGGACGTCATCTCACAGAAGGGGCAATTAGGTCAGCAGGATATTGGATTATAGGAGGGAAGAGACTTGTCTCCTCTGTCATACGGGATTGCGTAACTTGTAAGAGGCTCAGAGGACAGACTGGTTGGTGTCAGATGGCAGATCTTCCCATTGACAGGATGGAACCAGGCCCTCCCTTCACTTTCGTAGGAATTGACACATTCGGTCCATGGCCTATAGTCTTCCGCAGAACGAGGGGTGGCCAAAGCAATCAAAATCGATGGGCCATCATGTTCACTTGTTTGGTCTCAAGAGCGGTACATGTAGAACTTGTGGAGGAACTCAGTAGCTCTTCATTTATAAATGCATTGAGGAGATTTGTAGCTGTCCGGGGGCCAGTGAAACAGTATCGGTCTGATAGAGGCACAAACTTTGTGGGTGCGGCAAAGGAACTTGACATTGACGCCCATTTTGTAGAATCTGGAGAAGTCGGACAGTACTTAGCTGAGAATGGAGCTTCTTGGTTGTTCAACCCTCCCCATGCATCTCACTTCGGTGGTGCATGGGAGAGAATGATTGGTGCGTGCCGGAAGATCTTGGATGCCATGCTACTACAAAACAAACATGACCTTACCCATGAAGTATTGTCAACACTTATGCTAGAGGTATGTGCTATCTTGAACGCACGTCCATTGGTACCGGTTTCATCAGACCCAGAGGAACCCGAAGTTCTCTCACCTTCGCTGTTACTTACTCAAAAACCGTCATCATGGGACTCTCAACTACCAGAGTTTGAGCTTAAGGACGCATTAAAAAGCCAATGGAAGTTTGTTCAGCATCTTGCGGATGAGTTCTGGACCCGATGGAGTTCAGATTACTTACAGAATCTTCAGAAGCGACAGAAGTGGGAATCAGGAGGTGTAACATTCAGTGTTGGGGACATAGTTCTCATGAAGGAGAGTGATCTGTCAAGGAACCGATGGCCGCTTGGTATCATTGAAGAGACATTTCCCAGTGATGACAGTTTCGTTCGCAAAGTGAAAGTTGTTGTGATACGGGATGGTAAACGAACACCCTATGTGAGACCAATATCTCAACTGATCCATCTGATTGAAGTAAAGTGACACATTGATACACAGAACTCAGTATTTGTACAAATTTATTTTGCATCAGATTAATGTGTTGATATCAGAATTTACTTCATTGTATGATAATATTTTGCATTGTTTGTTTATTTGACAGGGTATTGTCATTTAATTATGTGGTTTAGTTCACATTGTAGAAACTATTTTGTAAAATTTCATTTACACCTATGGTAGATTAATAAGATGGTGATTTTCTAGAAAATCAGGAGGGGAGTGTAGTGTTACTTGCCGGAAATTTGCATTCTCCGGTTTTACTTTTACTGTAAATCACGTATTTCCATGTACTTACACGTGCATTGTTACATTGAAGTGTTTTGTGCCATAGAACACCATAGGAGTAAGTAATCATTGTTATAATTATGTATGCATTAAGCGGTACCATTGTATTATCATTTAGCTTAGATATTTTCTGCATTTAACTTGTAATTTCTTATATTTTGAAATGCTGACAAGTTCGTGGCTAGGTAGGCTTATCGTAAAATATGGATTATCCTATGGTGTACGTTATATCTTAATAATGTTATTGAATTACGCTGAATTAGGTAAATAAATACAATCCGGCTTTAACTTAAAGAAGAGCAGATGTAAGCTGTTTAGTCTGTTAGATTTCTACTGTGTAAAACTGAGTTTTTCATTTAATTTTGGAAAATGGCATAGTGTAAATTTTGGATTGTCAGTCTATCTGATATGTGTCAGCTGTTATACTTGAGCTTATTGTAACTCATTGTCATCGTTTGTTACAGTTTTCACCCTCTACGAGGAGCAATAAAATTTTGGTTGCACCAGAGTTTGTTCTTGCACAATAACTTTTTAATTCCACTGAGTATATATCCAATTATAATTAAGATATCCTTGGTTAATAAATCCTTGTAGTTCTTGTAATACTAAATCCAATAAAAAGTCAGTAAACAGTGTACTAATTTATTTACATATATACAATGAGGAGGCACAATACAAACGAAAGATGTTACATTTATGCTAGCATATGTACTGTCTAAATCTTAGCATAGCACTCCCCCCTTCTAAAAATGTCACACTTATTATATACTAATCTTAGCTCCAATAAATCATTATCTAAAACATTAGCTCCATCCTATTAATTAACTAACTCCAACTCTACATTTATCTTTATCAAATCCTTATCAAACTGTCATAACCTAGCTTGACCTTAACTCAATGCACGGCTCCCGATTCTACGAACAATAGCTCCCATTGCTCCACTCATTAAAGACTCATTATTCTTGACCACACTAGACACTGCTCTACTTTTAATTACCCTAACACAGCTTGACTAGTCTGGGCAATGCATCCAAATGCCTGTAACGCTGGACATTTAATAATAAATCACTTCATTACTTTTGAGCCTAAAATTACTACTCATCAGAACTTTAAAACTGTATCTCAGATTTATGATAAATCTTCTTATTCAAAAGTTACAATTCCATTTGCCTTTCAATGTTACCGATTTATTAGCCCAATTCTATATTTCCCCCAATAATTCAAGAACTGAGCAAGATATCGAAAATCTGAGATACGGTTTTGTGAACACACATTTGAGACACATTCTGGCCAGTTTTCAGAGAAATTGGTCAATAAATAAGGGAGCTGAATCGTTTGAAGTAATCTTAGTTTACAGTAGAGGTCTGCCAAAGCTAGAAATATATGACACCTTGGAGCTTCAGCTTTGGATACCTGTCACTTATCCATATTTTCTATGCATATTCACAAGAACGGGAGGTTCTATTCTTTATTTAGGTGCTTCTAATGAAGTAAAATAGGTTCAATTCTGAATCTGAAAGATTTCCCAGCAAAATGGCAAGAGCTAAGCCCCACCTCCTATTTCATGGTCATTAGTAATCGGTTAGATCTCCTTCCCTGAACCTAGAGGCCCTGTAGTTTAATTACTGGTAACCTCTGTGTAGTTAGTGAAGAATTCCCCAAGTGGTCACAGTGATTTATTGCTCCTTTCAGAAGCAGGCAGTTACAGACCAAATCAGAAGCTTCAATAACGGCACATTCACATGTGTTAGTGTTTATGTTTGATTATTGTTAAATAATTAGAAAACCATTTAATTATCAGCAAGAATTTTTCATGCATTATAAAGCAGTGATTAGCATTGTTTTCTTAGCCAAAAATCTATGTCTACAATAGAAGCGTTCTTTTAGTAATTCTTTATTTCATCCGTATTGGAAATTCAAAAAGAATTTAACACATTAGGACGCACAAATAATCATTTCAAATAAATGTAGAGTTGTATTTCTTTTCCTATAATTAAAGAATTTGATAAATCAGAAAAGAAAATCTGCGTAACTTCCATTTTTCAAGGATATGGATTCAGAGGTAGAAGAGTGGTGACATTTATTTCGTCAATTTTATAATTATTCATTCTTCATTCTACATTTAACTTTCATTTATTATTTTTTTTTTTGCAATTAAGTTTTGTTCCTTATTTTCTGTGATATGTTTTGCATCAATCTTATACTGCCTCTCAATCCTTCTCTGTCCATCACTCCGTCCTTCGATCTCCTGTCCTTTTATATGTCCTCTATCACTCTGTCTTTTTTGTCCTTTATATCTATCTTTCATAACGTCCTTCTATCTTCCATCATTTTATATGTCTCATCTTTCTGTCCTTTTATCCCCCTGTCTTTCTATTCGCACTTCTACATGTATCTGTCCCTCAAACATCCCATATTTACATCTCTCCTTCTCTTATCTGTTCACTGTTCCGTCCCTCTATCTCTTTGTCCTAAAATTGTCTTTTATAGATTCGTGCTTTTTATTTCTTTTATCTGTCGTCCACCAATTCGCCCCTTTTCTTTTAATCAATCAATCAATCATTTATTTGAATCTCTTCACCATTTTACAATAGCGTACAGAGACTACAAAAAACACATAGGTGATGTTATATACAACAATAGGTCTAGAAAGGCATGCGTGAATAAGAAACCAAACCAAAAAAAAAAAAAAATTGTAGGTTACTATAAATGTGAAGTATGGGAATTTAGGCCGGGGAGCATATTTTATTTATTTTCTTTACAAAGGAGCACAATTTTCTTAGAAAGCAGTGTTTATTGTTATTCATAATGTTTTTGAAACTAATTATATTCTGGAATTTTATGTGTTTTTCTGTTAAACATAGTTTTCTTTCTGTTTGTAGCGAGTTGCACTTTAATATGTAATGAAACTCGTCTCCGAGTTCTTTTAAATTACAATGGGGACAAATTCTATCTTGTCTTGGTATATTAAACCAGCGTCCACTTTCAATTGGTAAATGATGGTTACACGTTCGGAATCTACAGAATGTTATTAAGTCCTTTTTTGATAAAATATTAAAATAGTTTTCAAATTTTAGTTCGTCTTTGTATATTCTATAATTTAAAGCTTTGGGTGAGGTTTGAAGGATTGATTGCCAACTTTGTTTGAATTGATCCATTAATGTGAGTTTAACTTTCGCCTTTAACCATTTAATATTAATTGGGTTTTGTTCAAGCCATACATTTGAGAGTCCACAGTTATTTAAGATATTTTTAATATTTTCAAGCCAAACAATTTTCCCTCCTATTTCTTGATTTATAATGAAGCCCAATTTATAACATAAATTTGCAATTTTAATTTCCTTTCCAGTGATTAATTTTGACCAATAAGATATCATGCGCGTTTTTATTTGGATTTCCATGGGGTGTCGGCCAAGTTCGCCATATATCATGAAATCGGGGGTTGAATCTTTTAAATGGAGATCAAGACAGATGACTTTGTAGAGTTTTTAAGGTTCAAAACGGTCGGCGTATTAAATTTTACCAGTCATGTGAACACTTGTCACTTCATTTTCATATAGTTTTACTATTAGATTTTTAATCAGTTTAAAACGATTCAAAATTGATTAAACTCTTTATAATACATTGAAAACCTTAAAATATAATACAGAATCCACGTATTCGATAGTCAAGAGCATACTCTACTAAGTACATAACTTAAACGCGAGCAGGTAACATTTTGTTAATTTTATGGTCGTCTTAATAATCTTTTTAGCTTATATAACCAATCAGTGGGTCGTATATTGTCTATCATGTTTTACACAAATTGTTTGTTTTAATACTTAATTTAACTACAGAATAAACAGTACTACATTGTATTATTCTGACAGCCTGATCAATAATTATATTTCACAGAGGCTTTGTCCGGTCATCAGAAAGTGCTTACTAGTACTCCTTCTAGGCGCCCAATTCCACTTTTGAAAGTTTACATGTATCCCTTCATCACAAATCTGTATGTTGTGTAAATGTTTTTTTTTTATTGATCATTGTTCGATATCTTAACGTTTCAAATTTATTTTATTTTAAATTTAAGAGCAGAAATATTTTTCAGCATGTCGGAAAACTGATTATCTTTAAGTACACATAAAAGAAAAACTGAATTTTTTTCGGCCTGTATGAATTTTAAATGATTCACTTCATATTTATCCACATGTTGGAAGAACCATCGTACTTTTAAAAGACTGCTACATTTTTTTACCCCGAATTCTCTCACACGTGAAAAAATGTTTGCACATCAGGCATTAAGTTTAACATGCTCAGATTACTATTCAACAGTTTATGTAACCGTTTTATTAATAGCCAATAATTTTTTTTAAAGAAAAAGAATTAAAATTTATTTTGAAAAACAACAACAACAGCAATAAAACGTTGGAATTCCAGTGGACACTAATAATGCTCTTTATATACGGTGACATGGTTGTATATTCCTATGAATGAAATTTATAGAGATAACGACAGTATTCAAGCTCAAACGTCCATAAAAATACAAATAGGAACAGAGCAAACACGGACCTCAAACATCAGAGGTGGGATCAGGTGCCACGAAGGAGTGAGTATCCCCTGCTGACCTGTCATAACCGTCGTTTGCTCCTTGTAATGATCGGGAAATAACTGAAAAATCCATTATTAATCCAGTGTGTAAACAATGGACCAACAATTGATTTATAAAACGTCAGTTAACATTTGACTCAATGATAAATTGTATTTGCTGACAAAGTCATTGTTTCGACAATAGTACTTACGAAATAATGACTTTAAACGGAACTGCTGAAATCCTTGCTTCATCAACTTGTTTATCAATAATTAATCTCATTTTACAAATTGTTCATAAGTAGAACATGCTCTTGTGTATCGAATTAACTGAGAGATATAAAGTTATGCAGGCGATAAAGGTATATTGCTGCATAAGTAAGGGAATTTGACGATTGAAAAATTAGAATCATTTCGTTTATCATAGAGCTTGGTTGTTAGATTACAATTAACGTCTTTTTCAAGTAAAATTTCTAAATATGAATTAGATGTATCCGACTCTGTAGTATCTTTTATCTCAAGCTCACCAGGATGTATCGAACCGACATAAAAATAAAGTTAACCATTGTTAATTGACAATACGTCGTCGATATTTCGAAATGTCGAGTTGAAGCTAGGTCACTACAAGTGTTTTATTCTTTTCAAATACAAAATTTTTGACACATTCTGCTTCATATAAATACAAAAATAAGTCTGCTTATAAAGGGGCGCAATTGGTTCCCATGGGAATTCCAATAGATTATTGGAAGGCCTGGTCTCCAAAAACCACATCGATATTTTCAATCAGAAACCCTTTTTGATGTTAACTTGTGTGTACAATCAAAATATTTTTAACAAAATCATTTTGCAAAGGACCAATGATATTAAGGTAAGTAAATCTACGAGTTTAATTTTAATAGACTTTATTTTAAGAAAAAACCCAACGTGCTTTGGCCTTTAACTCCATCTTTTGATATATTGACGATATATTATCAATTAACAATAGCTACTTTCATTCAAATAATATTTGATTTATCCCAGTGAACTTGAAATAAAAGGTACCACAGAGTGCGATAGATCTATTTCATATTTGGATGTTTAAACTGACTATAGTAGAGACCATAAGAACCAATTAACAAGTAATTGTATGACAAACGAGGTGGCGTCGAATTTCCTATCGTCAGCGTTCCCTATTTGTGTAGGTACAACTATTTATAGTTATAAAATAACTACAAAATAATATGCAGATTAACAGAGGATGCTTACTCCTCCTAGGCTGTCAATCCCGCCTCTGGAATTTCCAGGGGGTCTGACTTCTTGCCCTGTTCACATATTTGTATTGTTTATAGATTACCTGAGATCTAGGACTATTTGTTATCTTCACCTTCTACATTAAAATTTGTATAATAAAACAGCGTTTTGGCTGCAAAAATTATATGTTTCCATATACACACCAAAATATTATTATATTTATTTGAAAAATAAACCATCCTTATATAAAAAATAAGAAATGTTGAACAAATTGTGTGAAATTGATACAGTGGATGTAAAATCTTTGTAATGGAATTAACCTTGACATAAAATGTACGGTCCAGGACTAAAAGTTTTCTTCGAATATAAAATGTTTCTTCTAAGAATTTCAAAATATTATCAAACCCTTTTTATAAACGTTTGTCAAAAATATAAGATTTTATCTTAAATTGTCGTTCTACAATATAAAAATATCTTTATTCTGTCTGAGAGAACGTTTTGCCTCACATTTTTGTAATTAGTAATACGTTTTGCTTTTACTTCAGTACTATTTAGATGATTTCTTATTTCTTTAGTTTTGTTTTTTGTGTGAGGTATGTCTACTTTTTTTGAAAAAAAAAACTCATTTGTACCATGGCAACATTACTTCGAGAAAAAAACCCTCATGATATTTTTTTTCTATATCATTACTTGTCATATAGATATTTTAAAATATCGTGTTCTTTCTGAGGTGGTACCATGCTCTTTTCTTGCCTTTGTCTTACAAGTAGTTTCAACTACTAGTGTCATACACAAACAACGTTTAATTATGCATGTACAGGAGAAGAACATAATTATATTCAATAATTTGTTGGTATGTTTTTTTCATTTTTAAAATTTTCATTTATTGATTATTAAGATAGAATAAATTGATATTTTGTTTCCTTCTTGTGCATATAGATAAATAGCAATAAATTAAATTGACATTTTCCATGTTAGTCAAATATTCAGATACTGTACTATCACATATTTTCGTGGGGTCAAGTTTTCTTGGTTTGAGGAAAAAATGTTGGTTTAATGGGGATTTGATTTAGCGGATGAAGAACTTTTAATAATTTTGCATATGAAAATTTACATTTCGTGGCGGACATGAATTCGTGGTCTATTCATACCTCGAAAACAACGAAAATTAAACACCCAGGAAAATTAGTGATTTCGCAGTACTTAAAAAGTATGATTTTAAAAAATCTTAAACAGTCGGAGAAAGTGTACTATTAATTGTTTAAATCTTGTTCTCTTTTATGATTTTAGCAAGATGCTTGAAAAACCCACAATTAATTAAGGATCAAAAAAGAAAATGATTTTGCCCCTTTCTGAAAAATAGAATGAGTTCATGCCAAAATTATCACTAAATTGATGAAAGAAACTCGATATTAGATTTGTGGATTTCTTAGAATCGTCGCAATCAGCTCATCAATGCGTCTCTTTGCTTCTTGGAGGTTCGGCTCCGACTCCGAGACAACTGTAAATTTTCCAGATGCAATATATCCCCGCTCCAATGTCAAAATGGTAGATCCAGACTCCACCAGACATCGTCTTTGATATTCTTGTTGAAAAGCCTAAATCAATCATAAATGTTCATGTCTGTTCATTTTTCTATTCCCCTAAAGAAACATAAATATATGTATTTTTTGAATATTACGTGTTTCTATTAATAAGTACTATGATGTTGATATTTTAATTAGAAATATGGTAATTTCAACTTTCAAACATTATGCTTTAAAAAAATAGTTATGGATTTTTTTAATATTAAAAAAGTTCACAAAAAGATTAAATTTCAATTATTTCGATCAGAAGATTTTTCCCTATTCATCCACGATTTTATTGATTTTAAAGTTTCGAGACAAAATGTTAAGAATGATATTGTTTTGGATATTTTGTCCATTTTTCATTAAAATAAAAAAAATCTTATCCAGGAAATATATCTACTTAGTACCTCTTTGACAGATTTTTTTGATTCTGCAAATAAAACAATTGTAACTTTCTCCAGCAGCGAGGGCGTATTTCTAGTATATTCTACGATAGCATCAAGCAGGCCTTTGGCAGCACTATCTGGAGGGTAGCCATAGGTCCCAGTCCCAAGAGCCGGAAATGATATAGAGGTGTGACGATCTCCTCCGGCTCTCTTCAAACATTCCATAGCAATGTCCTTAACCTCCTTATTAATACAAACAAAATTCCTCATTCTTGACATTCATTAGGAATACACATTGAATTATTCTATATGAATAGATCTATTTTTTTTTCATAAGTGCCATCATAAAATAACAAAGAGAAATTTCGATCACAATTTTACCTTTTGGGATTGATCTGTAGATGCTGGCAGACATGCATGATACACAACTTTACAGAGTAGACGTCCTCCTGCCTCTGTTTCCACGACGTCTCCATATTGCATTCTTCCACTCGTCTTCTGGACAAGCCTGTTTTGAATCTCATCTCCTCCTTTCTCGAATATAGCTTTTGCAACAGTAGACTGTGCTACTGTAGACGAAGTATCTATATTAACAGAGTTTACAATGACGTCTACCTAAAAGGGTAATAATACACAGATTAAATACTAGTACATCTGTGGATTATATGTCAAAATTACACAATAATTGATTTACTTGAAAATCTCTTTGTTTAACATTAATTTTGTTTTACTCTTTTGCATGTATCAAAATGTTTAAAAACTGGACTTGTCAAAAATTCTAACGTCATCTTCTGCTATATTTCCTTGTTCCACCTTGATTTTACAGAAATTTGTCAAGTGAATAACACTACGAGTCTCTCTCCTTATTTCCTGAAGTTGTCCTTTCCCTCCTGGCGTTAAAAAGTGGTTAACAACTTCCTGAGAAGCTACAGCAAATGCCCCTCTTTTATATTTGACATTGCTTATAAACGTTTTAAGCTCTTGTTTACATTTTTCTATACCGATTTTGGTGCCTTTTAAACGAATACCATCATCCTCCATAGATATTTCTTTAATAGAATCTTCCATTGTGTTCATGATTTGAAAAACCTTTTCTCGTTTTACATACTGAGCCATTTCCTTTGCCTCCACAGAGCACCCCCATTCCATCATTTCAGATTTTATCCTTTCTCCTAAAAAGCCCTCCAAACAGCTTTGTACTTGAATTTGTACCTGTGGTAAACAAGTAACAAGAAGTGCATCTCCCTCGACTGTTATAATCACCTGCTTTTTTGTATTAGTACGCAGAATGTTATAATGCTCCACCCATTGCTCTGATTCGAAAAGGACCTTTTCTACTTTACTTAGACTCTGGTTCATCTCAACAAACAATTCATTCTCCAACTTTTCTTTCAGGATGTCCATGTCACTTATTTTGCTTGTAACATACAAGCTTAAGCAATCATCGGGGATAAAATATGGACATTTATGTTTCTTGAAAACCTGTTTAAGGTGTCGTTTAACTTCTTTTTCTTGTACAAGGCATTGCTCATTTCTTTTTAATGGTCTGGCCCAGAAGCGCTTATGATAATTCTGTAGACAACGACTGATGTTTCTCTGCACATTTACGACATCTTCTCTAAGCCCATGTAATGCCACAATGCCTGATTCCCCTTCCTCTTCAAAGACTACGTCAACAGAAAATTCCTTCGATATTTCTTCACGATAATGCATGACTTTCAGGTATGTAACTTGTTCTTGTTCAATGCTGAATGAATCTCGAACGACTTGATCTTTCAGAATAGAGGATAATATGTCCCTCTCAAAAACCACAATATCAGCTTCATGTCCAGCCAGGAACAATTTTTTGTCAAAGAAAATTGAAACGCAATGAGGGTCTTCCATTCCTTGAAGAAATTTACCAAGCTTTAAATCTCCAAAAGAAAAGTTTTCTTCATCAATGTCGTGTTTAATTATTTTTAAATGTTCCCTGCAAAACTCATCTATGACATTATACATTTCTTCTAATTTCAAGTTTTCCTTCACACCGTGTTCCATAGTCACCTTTAAGGCGCTGAAGTCACCAGGAATCTTGTGTATTGACATTTTTAGATTATCTTTAAGCTTTCCATTTACTGACTTGAGACACTCCTGGTGTGATAAGATATGAACAAGTAATTTACTATTGAGACTTGTCTCGCCGACATCTTTATTATTTTGTGTTCCTTCCAAGTTGTATTTGATCGTGGTAATTTGATGTGATTTACAGGACACAAATTGTGGTGTTATTGATGTTGTCGCTAAAGATTCTGTTAAACTTTCAGTGCCGTATCCTGCAAAATGAAACATGTGGAGATAACGAGCAGTATTCAAGATCAAATGTCCATGAAACAATACAAAAAAGACCAGAGCAAAAACGGACATCCAAAAAATTAGAGGTGGGATCAGGTGCCATGTCATAGAGGAGTGAGCATTCCCTGCTGACCTGTCACACTCGCCGTGTGCTCCTTGTCATGATCAAGAAATAACGGGAAAATCCGTCTTCAATTCAGTGTTTAAAAATGGACTAACGATAGTTTGGAAATCGTCAGTCAGCATTTGACTCAATGATAAATTGTATTTGTTGACAAGGTCATTGTATCGACCATAGATCTTACAAAATGATTACTTTGAACGAGACTGAAGGTATTCTAGTTTCTTCAACGTGTTTGTTAAAAATTTCCTCGCTTTTTGAATTGTTCATACGTAGAGCAGGCTCTTGCGTATCGAATCAACTGAGATATATTAACTCCCTATGCAGGTGATAAAGGTATATTGCTTCATAAGTAAGGGAAGTTGACGATAGAAAAGTTAATGTCATCACGTTTATCACAGAGCTTGGTTGTTAAATTACCATTAAATTCCTTTTCAAGTAAAATATCCAAATATGAAACAGATTTATCAGACACTGTGGTATCTTTTATCTTAAGCTCTCCAGAATATATCTTATCGACATAAGAATGAAAATTACCATTGTTACACATGTTACATATGTAATTGACAATACGTCGTCGATACATCTAAATGTCGAGTTGAAGGCCACAGCAAGTGTTTTAATTTCTTCTTTTCACGCATAAGATTTTGGACAAATTTAGCTTCATATGAATATCAAAATAAGTCTGCTAATAAAGGGGCACAATCGGTACTCATGGGAATTCCCTTTGATTGTTGGAAAACATGGTCTCCAAAAACAACATACCGTATAAGTGGAAATTTTAGCGAGACGCAAATTAAGCGTTTTCAACTAAAATCTGGTATTTTATTTTTAGCGAGAAGTACTTTTAGCGATTTTAACATGCTAACTAAAGAAGCTATTACAAATAATACGCAATTAATTTTTAGCGATATTCAATTTTAGCGATGTCAGCACCTTCGCTAATAATGCCAAAATTAAATCCTCGCTAAAAATTCTACTTATACGGTAGATTCTGTCAATCAGGAACTCAAGCATCTTTTTGATGTCAACTTCAGAGTACTTGTGTGTACAATCAAAATGAATTTTAACAAAATAATTTTGCAAATGACCGACCAATAAGAAGGTAAGTAAATTAACGAGTTCAATTTTTATTGAAAAAGCACTTAAAGCAGCTGTCACTTATATCGAAAAGCCTGGACTTTAATTTATCGGGGGAATGGTTGTGTATAAAGTTGAAAAGTTTTTAAGTTGTTGATTTTGTCAAAATCTTGTGATTTCAAATGGATTATGATTCTTTTTTAAAAGTAATTTTTAGGTATCCACATCTGATATACACCACTTCGTTAATATATTGTTGCACAGTTCTCAAACAAAAATTTTTTCATACGCATGGTCCTGCGTATCGCATCAACTAGATATATAAACTCCGTATGCAGATGTTGAAGGTATATTGCTGCATAAGTAAGGTAGGTTGTTACTTAATAAAGGCAATATTCTTATTCACAACAATGTCCACACCTTCTTTCATAAAGAAACACACAGACTAATGCTTTCAAACATTCTAATTGCAAAAATCATCATATAATGCCTAGGTATCAAACATTAAAACACAATCCTCCAATGTGTTCATATGTTTTTTTAAATGGAATATGTTTTGATATTATTCAAACTTAAGAAGGTAAGAACTTGTGACAAAGTAAATAGTTTAAGATTCCATTGTTTTTTAAAAAGCAGTTGCCAATATTATCAAAAAGCTTGTACTAATTCATCATGGATAAATGGAACTCGCAAATTTACTTACCTTGTCATATATATATATATTTTTTTTTTTGCAAAATTATTTTGTTAAAAACATTCTGATTGAATTGATTGACTGATTGTATACTGTTTAACGTCCTTCTCCAGAATATTTCACTGATATGGAGACGTCACCATTGCCGGTGAAGGGCTGTAAATTTAGGCCTATGCTCCGCACTTACGGCCTTTGAGCAGGGAGGGATCTTTATCGTGCCACACCTGCTGTGACACGGGGCCTCGGTTTAGGATTGAAGGAATAAAGGTAAATAATTCAACATTTTACAGAAATTGACTAGCGCGTATATCATATTGGTGTTTTCGTGCGGAAATAGTCCTGTAATTTCGTGCTAAAATGAATTGCCTTGAAACTGAAGCATACTATTGTGATTTTGACGGACTGGGAACAATGCTCTTCAGTTTAACACTACTTTGATGAAATTTTACGAAATACTTCATCATGGAACGAACTTTTTAACAACTCTCTTAGTTAATAATGATGGCAAAAAGTTACAACATTTTAAAATCATATAAAAGCTTTTTTCTTTAATATAAAGGGAACTTGAAGATATATATAAAAATATTACTTTTACTGCCATCTTGACATCTATTTTGAAATCTACTTTCGTTTTATTTGCATGAACGTTTTGCATAAATAAATATAATTTTTCATCAATCTTTTTAAGTCGGCAAAAAAAAAATATTAAGGTATCATCGTTTGTCAGTAATTTTTAGAGTTTAAAATGGTATATTTACCGCTGCTAGCAGCCATTATCCTCTATTTTTCTAATTGTAGGACAAACCCTCTCCCGAGTGAGGTAACAAAGATAACGTGCTAAAAATAGATCGTTAATTTCGTGTCGCACTAAGACCCATGTACCTTATTTTAAAGTCTCAAAATAAAAAGTATTCACACCTGAGTGCTTCTCACACCATGCGATATATACAGTCTGCTGACCATTGTCCATGTCTAATTTAAAGCATAATAGTTATCTCTAAGTTATTAAGTTATTTTCAAAGAACGTGGGCGCTTTTGATGGGCATTCGGCAGGAATCTGGGCGTACTTGAAAAGTGAAAATTTTATCGACATGTCACATGAAATTTTAACACTTTTTTTTAATTTATCGGGTTCCTGTGCAACAGGAAAGGAGAATATTTTCCTGAAATTGAGCTCTGACTAGCAAAAAAATAACTTGAAAATTGGCCAGATAAGACATTTGGTAAAAAAAAAGGTACATTTTTAGACACGTTTTTTAAAAATTTGTCTATCTCTGGGTCTTCTCTCCATGATTTTGAAATATTATTCGTGTGTATTTAAATTCAAAGAAACGAATACTTTAAAAAAAAAAATGGAGAGAATTAAGACCCAGAGACCACGAAAAATTAACTTTCCCCCAAAAATCCATATGTGTGAATGTAGTGCTTCTATGTTCTTTTCAAATTATCGGAATATAAGTTGCGGTGATAGCTCAGGAAGTAGGATTACCTGTTCACTGCACTCGAATCGAATCGAATCGAAAAGTTTTTGGTTCGAGTCTGGCATGGGGCGTTAATTTTTTTTCATGCAAACAACCATTTATTTTGTCAGTTTCATTTTATGTACTTATGTATGAAAATTTTGAGTTAGATAAATTTTGGTTCAGTTTGGTTCTCGAGCAAAATCAATTCAGAATCTAATCTTCTATTCCATAATGTACATGTATCATGCATCTATGCATTAAATATTTTAGGTGTTTACTTTTTGTGAAACATTAATATTTTACAGTACCCCCCCCCCCCCTCCGAAAAAAACGGACATAAATGTTACAATTTCACACGGTCTTTCAAACTAAATGAAAAAAACCCATGGACGTGCTTGAAAAATCTGACCAGCTATGTTCAGCCAACCAAATCATGGACATTTAAACCATAAATGTTTCGTACAAATGATTCCTGCAGATTACTCGCCAAATTAATGCGCCCATCTTCTTTGTTGTCAAGCGATGGAATTCAATTATTAAAACAGATATTCTTTAATCATAAATATAATATATAGCAATGGGAGGGAATTTAATAGTATTCAATAGCTTCTTACTATGCATAAACCTAATAACTATTTTTTTTTAAAAAACCAATGCCGTTGGTTTGCGAGTTCCGATGAAGATGAAATTAAAATAATGGATACATTTCTTAGATTGAATAGCCATTATAGCCTACATGTACGTCACAATGACTTTTGAGCTTGTTTGTTATTTCCATATATTTCAATTCTGCTTAAAATTGAAATACCGATGAAGAAATTCATCTGTTAACTACCTGCAAATGAAATAAATACTGCAATCATTTTTACCATCCTTAATACTTTTAACAGACTATTAGATTAAGGCATTTATATGAGGTGACACAGGAGCAGATCACGTGGTCAATAATTAACAGAAAGTACCGGTAATATGAAGATCCAGAGCAATTAATAGGTTTAAAAAAATTAACCAATACATTCCGGGTATGGAGGAAAAACTGACAACAAAACGTTCTGATCAACGTGATGATTAATTTTTCTATCGTCAACACCCCTGTATCGATAAATTTTCTTCTCTGCACATGAAGTTTATGTCTCACGGTTAATTTGATAAACGAAACCAATAAACCATGCCCCACATACAAACACTTTTTTAAACGCGACAATATATGAACAAAGAAGTTGATGAAACAAGAATATCAGCAATCTAATTTAAAAAATTAAAGTTATTATTTCGCAAGTTCTCTGGTCGTCAGAATGACCTTTCCAGCAAGTATAATTTATCAGTTAGTCGAATGCTGTCACTGACATTCTTTATATATTTAATCTAATTGTTAGGCCATTATTTACACACCGTGTTGGGTAAGGATTTTTTGATTCCAAATCATGGCAAGATGTGACCAGTCGACAGGGTATGCTTACTTCCTGAAAGACACCTAATCCCACTGCCACATCATTTGTTTCCCAGAGGCGAATCTTATAAACCTTACTCTCTCATCAATGATCAAAATACACGTCTTTTAATAAAATAAAGCAATGAAAAACATGTGTTGTAATTTATCTCGTGTGTCTACCAGATGATCTTGGACTATGTTAATGCACTTCATTGGCTTGGCACAAACAAAAATAGTAATGAAAAATCAATTAACCAAGATAGAATTAAAATAAAATAAAAAAAATTGATTTGCATAAATTATGAATCATGTTTTTTTTTTTATGAAAAAACCCTTATCATCCAAAATGATATAGAAAATAGCTTAGAGTCCTTAAAGATTCAGGACTCTAATCAGAAATTAGAATAGGTAATTACCATCTAAATTTATCTTTGTATTAAATAAACATGTTTTAGTTGGGGTCACGCGACCCCGTATAATTATAAGTTTACTGTCTGAGGCCTGAAAACGGAAGCCGTGGTGGGGGGGGGGGGGGAGAGAACACATGAATTAAATCTACGCTATATGAATGCGTGCAGAAATAGTTTTGATTCAAATACAAGAGAAGGATATGGAGATGACGAACAGTGTTCAATCTCAACGTCCATTAAACAATATACAAAATAAGAGCAGAGCAACCACGGACCTCCGAAACATCAGAGGTGGGATCAGGTGGGATCAGGTGCCATGGAGGAGTGAGCATCCCCTGCCGACCGGTCACACCCGCCGTGTGCTCGTTGTCATGATCAGGAAATAACGGAAAAATAACGGAAAAAATCCCTCGGCAATTCAATTGATATTCTTGTTTCATCAACTTGCTAGTCAATAATTTACCTCGTTTAAGATATTGTTCATACGTAGAGCATGCTCTTGCGTATCGAATCAACTGAGACATATATACTCCGTATGCAGGAGTTCATACGTAGAGCATGCTCTTGCGTATCGAATCAACTGAGACATATATACTCCGTATGCAGGTGATGAAGGTATATTGCTGCATAAGTAAGGGAAGTTGACGATAGAAAAGTTAAAGTCATCACGTTTATTTAGCTTGGTTGTTAGATTACCATTAGTGTCTTTTTCAAGTAAAATATCCAAGTATGAAGCAGAAGTGTCGGACTCTGTGGTATCTTTTATCTCAAGCTCACCAGGATATATCGTATCGACGTAGGAATGGAAATTATCATTATTAATTGACAATACGTCGTCGATACATCTAAATGTCGAGTTGAAGGCCACAGCAAGTGTTTTCTTCTTTTCACGCATAAGATTTTGGATAAATTCTGCTTCATATGAATATAAAAATAAGTCTGCTAATAACGGAGCGCAATTTGTACCCATGGGAATTCCAATAGATTGTTGGAATACTTGGTCTCCAAAAACCACATAGATATTGTCAATCAGAAACTCAAGCATCTTCTTGATGTCAACTTCAGTGTACTTATGTGTGCAATCAGAATCTGTTTTAACAAAATAATTTTTCAAATGACCAATGACGAGGTAAGTAAATTTACGAGTTCCATTTTTGTTGAAGAAGCAGCTGTCAATGATATCATAAAGCCTGGATTTTAATTTGTCGTGGGGAATTGTTGTGTATAAAGTTGAAAAGTCGTAAGTTTTTAAGCTGTTGATTTTTGTAAAGTCTTGCGATTTCAAATTGTCCAAAAGTTCTTTAGAATTTTTAAGTATCCACATCTGATTTACAAACATTCTGTATCAAATTGAAGAAAGTGATGTGAACTTTTTTTACTCAAATTAATGAAGCAGTTTGAATATTTGAAAATATTGACTGTAAATCACACTACTAAACAAAGTACTCTCCTGCCTAGTATTACGACTGCGTACGCATCATCCATTAATTACTTCCGGAAAATATTAATTCTGGCCCAGTGAAATTCGGACAATTCAAATGGTTGATAGACTTGGCAATTATTGAATTTTCTACATCAAAGTAAATGAAAAATTTGAAGATATATTATTCACAGTTTTGATTTTAGTATTTTGATAAAAAGAACAAGGTTGTTATCTAACCTATTAAAAAAAAGTCAATTTTTTGTGAAATATAGCATGAAGATTATGTTGACCCCGTCTATCAGTACTTTGATTTTTTTTTATTGCGTTGACATTGGTCTTTTCATCATCAGAAAGTGCAAAATCACCCAATATATTCTGAAAAAGATGTATGATCTTTACAACACCGAACAGTTGTCATTCTACTATACTAGAGATTTAATAATATATAGTTATAGAACAAATATTATACAATATTACAGAATATATTGCTTTTCTAGAACTAATTAAATATAAATATACATTTGATATATTGTTTCCGCTTGATTACTGAAATATTACATGATATCTGTTTTGCTGAATTATCGACAATTTATCGACAATGATAACATCAAAGCTATTATTGTACCTTATTCATCACGCTGAATGTTGAAAAAAAGCTTAAGTAACAATAAATTATATTTACAACTTTCGCTAAATGCCATGTTAGAAGAATATGAATAAAATACATCTTGTTTCCTTTTAAATAAAGATAGTGTTGACAAAATAGATAATGTTATCAATAAATATTATCAGATGAATTTTATTGTACAGCAGTTAGTTTAATATAAAAAAAAGGAATACAATGGCTTCAGATTTTTCTTTTTTATCTTTCTTTCTCTTTTGATCTAAAATTATCTAACCTGGAAAAGAATCCTTTCCTTGTTTACTTATAGGAAAGATCGATACTTTACTCGGTTTCTCTAAAATGAAATGAAATATTGAGATAACAAACAGTTATATATATTCAAGTAGACATATATAAAAATATCACAGGAAAACAGAAGCCTTCAAAAGACATCACAGTCAATACATGTTTCTTGGCAAATTAACATCAAAAATATTATT